TAGAGAATTCTCCATACCCCTGGCTCACTCCTGCATGAAATTCAGATACAGAGTATACAAATACAACATATAACAGATATCATAACAGAACCGAGCATATATCCATATCATATCAGAGATGTGCGCCGTCATTCCCAAGGGAGGACCCCAAGCGGAAATCAACGCACGTGTTCCCGAGGGAGGACCCCAAAGCGGAACCAGACATATCAGAGGAGTACACCATCAGTCCCGAGGGAGGACCCCAAAGCGGACGTCCGGGTACTATACAATCAATGGCCAGAGATTGTTACAGAAATCATATTACAGAAGTCATATCAGAGCAAAACATATCATGTTATCAAATAACTCTATATGAATGCATCTATACAAAGCATCTAAATCACAGTCATACAGTCCAACCATAGTTCACTAACCATGGTGGAGCACTCAAGCAGGAAAAGACTCCTTAAACATAGAGCTTACCTCTTGAAGCTTTACCAATACGCTTACTTGTGGAACAAGTTACTTTTATCGCTTCAAGAGATTTCCGATCCTTCTCAATCCCTAGGCACACCTAGAGAATAATTTACAATGCATCAATAAAATGATGCAATACCATAATTATTTCATAAGCATACATTTTATCGCTTATTTTCCTTTCTTTGCATTTTTGCCAATCCTATGCCAATACACAAGTCTAGACCTCTTTATAACTGTTGGTGTTCTTTAATTTAATCAACCATTCCCTTAGGAATTTTCAACATAAATCATGCTATTTTTCTTCAAAACTCATCACCTTTATACAATTTATTACAACACATTTTATTTAAAATAAAATGTACAAAATATATCCCTAAATACCCTATAGGTCGAATCCTACAAGGGGAATTTCCAAAGATCCTTCTCTTTTACAATGCATTTTCGTTACTTCATTACAACTTGCAAACACCTAGGAATGCTTCCACTAAATTCCTATTTTGAGTTTAGACACCAAGTCCTTTTTACTTAGGCATTCTTACTAACTCATCCATTTTCACTCATTTCCAACACACTATACCTTCACAATACATAATATAATTTTTTCCACAATAACTCCTACTCACTCCATGATGGCCGAAACCTAGGAGGAATATGCAATAGGACTTTTAAATTTTTATATCACATGTGGATGCTTACTCAACACTATAACTTCCTAAACAACAATAATCCATCATAAATTTCACATTCTAACATCAATTATTTCCCAACAAAATATGCTCATCAATTTCATAACTTAAATCATCAAAATAATATCATGGAAATAGAGGTTTCTTACCTCTAAACACTTGTACAAAGCCTAGAGAGCAATCTCCAAGCCAAGCTCCATCCAAAAACTCACTTTTTCTCCTCCAATGAATAGTAACTCGAAAATGAGAGGAGGAATAACTCTTCACACACTCAACTATAGCTCAAATGGATAGGTGGAATGGATTCATTGAGTGGTTTCCAATCAATTTCATGTGGTGGGTCATTGGATTTGGTGGATGGATGATGAAGAAATCAAAGAAGGAAAATTTGAAACCCTAGCCCCTTCCCCTCCATGTGCAGCTCGGCCATGCAAGAGAGAGAAGAAGAAAATCTGAAATGAATAGTGTTTCATTTAAGTGACAAGGCTATATAGGCACATGTGGCCATTTTCATCGGATGTTTTTTTATCGCGTATTTTAACTTAAATTGACCCGGAACTAACTCAAAGCTACAAACATATTTTTTATTTCCTAAAATCATTTACATTAATTTTTATTTCCTAAGGAACAATATTCATAATTCACAGTATGGTTTTTGCACCGTTTTTGACGAAATGCACTGTGCATCACTAATTGTACTTCCTTTACTTACGAAACTTAAAACTTATAAACTTATCATTTTCTTGGGCCTATATTGACTTGCTTGGCATATATTGGACTTTCTTATTCTTATTTCATCAATTATTTATTTCTGGACTCTACCGGTTGCTTAAACAGCAGTACAAAATACCCGGTAGAAACACTATTCACGAGATTTTCACGGAAAGTGCCAGACTATACAATTTTTCGTTCTGAACTCATATTTGTCATCAGAATTTTCAAATTATGTTCCTAAAATTATTTTGCTCATTTTAAGCTCTACCGGTTAATTCACAAAACTGTAAATTCTCCGGCAGAACGCACTGTTCATCACATAGTCATGATTACAGTCAAAATACTCGAAATCGCTCACTGAATCTAATTATGGCATTTAAATCCTTAAATTAAATCTCTAACTAAGATTTATCAGTTAGGGTCATTATAAATACTATGAAAAATAATATGTGGTCATGAAGTTAACATGTTGATGACAACATTTGAGGTTGGAAGCAGTAAATAAGGATGAATATACAATATTTGCATCTACATGACAACTCATTCATCACAAATTGATGGATAATAATATCATATTATCATAAAGGTCAAAGGTGCCAAAATAGCCATATAATTCGATACTAAGACAACATCAACATCAACATCAACAACACATTTATCCCAAATTAATTGGGGTTGGTGGTAGATGAACCCACATGAAAGATACAAAACGGTTGAAAAAAAGTAAAAAAAAATAAAAAATAAAAAATAAATAAATAAATGAATAAATAAATAAAAATACACAAATAAAATAATAAAATAAAATAAAATGAAATAAAAATATATGTATATATAAATAAATAAAAGTAAAAAAGAAAGGGATAAGAAGAAGTGGGGGAAATGAAGGGGAAAATGACTAAAAAAGGACCATCTGGAACATAGGAATAACAGCGGGTCTAACCCTCCACCATACTTATAGCTTTTCTCCATTCCTTTCTAAGACATACTGTCCGCCAATCTATAATTACTTATAAGAATCTGACAAAATTACTTATAAATCTCTATAATAGTTATAATAGTTGATGTAAAGAACCACTTCAACCCAAAACCTTTAGGTGTTGGGTGAAGATTTTTTTAATGGTTTATATTATTCTCTAACACGCCCTCTCACGCAAGAGCCCTTTGGGCTTGAAGCGTGGATTATTGCATAGGCCCAATTTTTGGTTTACCTTATGCTTATTTAATTCCACAAGTGGAGGGCGGTGAGGATCGAACTCGTGAACTTGTGGTCACTGAAGCTTTGATACCATGTAAAGAACCACTTCAACCCAAAACCTTAAGGTGTTGGATGAGGGTCTTTTTAATGGTTTATATTATTTTCTAATAGTTGAAGTTAGTACATTTATGCTATACCTAAAATTAGTAAAATAATTTGGATGTCCTGAAAATGCATTTTAAAAGTTCTGGCCAAATTCATTGTATTCACAAGCTTTGTCATCTAAATCAGTGCCAAACTGCCAACGGAGAGAACAGTGGAACAGTAAATTCTGGAGATATTGCTTGATGTATAAAGACTGTATGCAAATAGCAAGTGTTTAAGTAAAGGAAAAAGAAGAAAAATTCAGCATATCATGAGGACCACAAAATCATCACAAACAGGCTGGTAGAGATAATCAAAGGGAAGGAAGGACCACATTAGGCTTGAGGAAAAAGTCCACCTAGCCAACTAGACATAATGTTCTAGGGGAAACCTACCCATAATTTCACAGTTGATCAGTCTCTTTAATATATTTTCTTTTGGTAAAAGTTGATCAGTCTCTTTACATATACAAATCTTCTCAGGTCATGTTTCTTTCACAAATCTAGTGAAGACAGAAAATGCAGATTCTAGATAGCCTCAACCCACCTCAATTTGTAGTCCTGTGGGACAAGTTTATGACTATCAGCACAGAAAAATTTCCAGTCATCCGCAACCTTATCAATGTAAAATATGTTCACATAAAGCTTACACGTTACAGAAAGACTTGGAATCAGTATTATTCTACTTGAGATCCAATATTACTGAACTTCATGACCAATGTATTTTCTGGAGTGCTTTCATGTTACCCTCATTTTTTTATTTAATTCTTATAAAAAAATGTTTTCAATTTGGTCCTTGTTGTTTATTAACATTATAAAACCATCTGTTAGAGCTACAATAACTAAATTGTAATAATTGAATTAAAAATGAGTATCACATATAAGTTATAAAAATATTATATTTTTCATCTATGTTATTACGGTGTTATAACACTAACAGAAACAAAATTGAAAGTAAATGTAAGCACGTGAATCAGAGATTGAAAACTTCATATACAAATTAATTTTATTTTTATGATAAGGATTCTCTAGTCATAAATGGGTTCCATTATTATAAATCTCATTTTACCATAAGTAAATTGGAATAGACCAAAATGGTCAAACTTGAATGCTATTTTACATTGAAATTTTATGGGCTTTTCAGGTAATTGCCATAACTTCTAGGGTGAAATGAGTGCAACTAGAAAATTGGCAACTCTACTTAGGAAAACTGTGAGGCGGGTGTAGGGGAAGCCCGTGGCGAGGGACAACACCAATGAACTAAGGCTACACCAACCGTAGCAAGTGGAGGCATTGAGTTCATGGGTCCTTTCACTTATATACTCTTCACTTAACTCATTACCAACCAATGTGGGACTCATCTTACTTGAATATCTAACAATCTCCCCCTTAAGTGTGAAATCCACCCTTGGTATGTTCCCCCTCAACCGAGTACCCGAAGCGTAAAGTACTCAACTCGCCTCCTAGCCAATCACCAAGCTAGCTCGAGCCCAACCCGGCTCTGATATCAATGTCAGGCGGGTCCAGGGGAAACCCGTGGCGAAGGGCCACCACCAATGAGCTAAAGGCTACACCAACCGTAGCAAGTGGATCTGACACCATGTCTCAACCCAAAACCTTAAGGCATTGAGTTCATTGGTCCTTTCACTTATATACTCTTCACTTAGCTCATTACCAACCAATGTGGGATTATCACACTTGAATATCTCAACAAAAACTAGGCACGTGTGTACCCTGAGTTCTTGTTTGGATGCTTAGCCAGATTCAGTAATTGTGACATCCAATACATCAATCATGGATTGGTATGGAGAAAAATATATGCCACCATAACAATGCACACAAACAATTTCCACATATGCTTTATGGTGTTAACTTCGAAGAGTTTATTTACATGACCTCTCATTGTTGACAATAAATAGCACACATTATCATATTCAAAAGCATGCAAATCGGTATATGTTCTAAAATGAGAAAGCAGCTAGTAAAACAAACCACATGCATCATGGATCTTAATACTGGTATCCCTTCTGCACCTCGTATCCTTTCATCTAGAAATTCATGATACCACACACATTGTCGTTCATGCTGGTCCAGCTTACTTGAGAAGAGTTGAATCATATCCAAAAAAGCATTTATTTTTGTCCTGCACACTACTCATCAACCTTTTCATTTGTTCTAATCCATGATACAAAAGGTTTGCATTTTTTTTTCCTCTTTAATTTCAATGCTCAAGAAGACAGCTATTTTTAATTTTTTTTATCTCTAAAGTTTTCTCCCTTGCCACTTCTTGATGTGTTCACATCTAAAGCACCACATCCTGGCTGTGACTTTTTGCTGGTAACATCACAAGGTGTCTGAAATCCAATATTTTCCACAGCTCCAACTGTCTTGAATAATCTTCTTCTGTTTACCTCCTCAACTAGTGATCGGTGTAGTAATTGGCTCCTCATATCAATTAGTGACTTGTTCCTTGTTAGTCTACGATTGTCTATCATCCTTTTACTAGTAGAAGGTGCTTGTGGTCCAGCTAAAACTTTGAACTGGTTCAAAGTGACCAAGTCTTCACCAGGGGAAAACCTTGAACACTTGTGACTCTTTATGATAGGATACTTATCTTTTCTTGTAGAAGCCACATTATAGTCATGGTCATCCATAGAACAAAAATTCAAGTTGGAATATGTCCCCTGTGAAGAGCATCTTGAACTGCCATCATCAAGCACATCATCTGCAATAGTAGTTTGTAAGGTTAATGTAGCAACTAAAATTAGTTAAAATAACATTTTCCCTCCCCCACTAGATGATTAATGTAAACTAAACTATAGTAGATTTTAATGAGGACCTACTTACATATCATGGCAAACATTAAATGAGAGATTCTATCTGCAATACTATATGTAAGATTTCATAACACAAAGCCTACAGTCTTGGATACTGTTATTCTATGGTAATTAGTGTACAGCTCAATCATTTAAGTACATCAATGAAATAGGACCTTAAAGTTAGCTATTGCAGTAGGGGGGGAAGGGGCAAAGAAGAAATACCCTGGAGCCAATAATGTTCATTTGATATGTCATCAGCTCTACTGATTAAACCTGATATTGATTCTTGAGAAGATGAACAAGAAGAGATAGAGTGGAAATGATGATGAGGACCTTCATCATCATCATTATCTTGATAACTAAATGTATGGCAGGTGTCTGAACAGTTACTATTTCTCCTATTTGGTAGCAGCACAGATATCTCCCCTTCAATCATATTTGCAATTTCAAAAGGCTCCCAATCTGTGATCTCCAATTCTTTTACCATCTCCATTGCAACATCAATGGGGGTGTCAGTGAGAATGTCAAAGGGAAAATATATATTCCTACCAGGACCTGCAGGAAAAGGAAGAAGAAAAGTTTTATTGCTACTTACACCAATCTGTGGGCTTGAACTATGAGTTAACCACCAGGATAAAGTTCACTGCTGGTTTATAAGCTTTAGCCAATCATTTAATAAACAAAAGTAAAAGATGTTGTGGTGAAATTGCAATTAATTTGTATTTAGAAAGCTTTAAAACAAACCAAACAGGAGATTGAAAGTCAAGAAAATAATAGATACCATTCTTGTCAGCAATTTGCACTTTGAGAAAGATCGTATCATCTTCCGGATTCAGCTTCCCAGTTATTGACATTGCAGTCCTAGGTAAATCATCACTCAATTGAAGTTTTTCCATCTCACTGTAATTTAAAAATGGCTTCTGAATTCCAATCTTTGTCATGGATGATGCATCATCAGACACAAGAAATGGATCTTGCAACAATGCTTTTGCTGAAGGTCTGTTTGCTGCAGCTACTAGGCATTTGGCAATAAACTTCTGTGCTTCTTTGTCTTCAATTTGGAAAAGTGCTGCTGGTAGCTTCCCCTGAACATGAAAAGACAAAAAAGATGCTTATATTTAAAATCCCATCTTTACTTATATCTTTAAACCTTAAACCAGAATCTGAATTTACCGATGTCACTTTCTTGTATATCTGTGCAGGGTTTGCACATTCACTATATGGATAGTCAGATGTAAGCATTTCCAAAACACACATGCCAAATGAGTACACATCAACAAGTTCATTGTATTCTTCCTCATACAATTCTGGTGCCATGAACTCTGGGGTGCCTAGTACAAAGGAGAATATATTTAACAGACAATGATTGGAGTGGCTCAATACCTGCAATGCAACACTCATTGGCAGAAAAATAAGTACCTATAACACTATGGGCTGGCTGGGAACCGCGGAGAATTGCTGCTAGACCAAGATCACCAATTTTCACTTGTCCAAGATGGCCATTGATAAATATGTTATCACATTTGAGGTCCCTATGAATTACTGGAGGATCATGCTCATGTAGATAAACAAGACCCTGTAAGATTTGGCGAGCCCAACTCTTTATTGCTTGTATGCCAATGTGCGTATATTTCTTCCTGTATCTGCACAAGCCACAAACTTATCAATTATTTCATTAAGCATAAAACCAGTCAAAAAGATGAAGCATGCAATAAATACTTAAGCATAGTCAACAATCCTAGGAGCTTATCATTATGTTTTCATTGTTTATCTGACCCCCCAGTAAGAATTCATTAGGTAATAATGGTTAAAAGTTCTAACAGCAATAAAGATGTTGTAAGTCCATTTCAAAGGAACTACAAGATGGGACTTATTATAGTTAGAAAGGAAGTTACTCTCTGAGTGTCCCTGAAGTGAACAATTCTGTAATGAAGTTGAAGGTCTTGTTGTCAACATCAATCCAAGAGGTATAGAATCGTATGATGGATTGGTGCTTGAGGGTACTGAGGAGATGAACCTCTAAATAAAGCCGCTCCAAGTCGTCTGGTGTTCTAAGTGCTTCATTGAGTTTGACCTGGTTCCATGCTACCTCTATTCCAAGGATCTCATCAATTGCTTTGTACACTGTCTTCATTGCCCCTTTTCCAAGAATATCTCCAACCTAGTCACATACAACACATAACTTTTGTCACATTAAGTCAACTGTGCCATGACATCCTAATTTCCCATGTCCTCAAATTTGAAATATTTAGCAATTGCAGTCACATTTATCCACTTTTTGGTAATTCAATATCTTCTGCAGCATTAATATGCATTAGTTGTTCAAAATTCTGATCCATTTGCATGATGTTGAACCATGGTGAAGGAAGTGAGTGATCAACAATTTTTTTTAAACTAACATGGTAACATCTAGAAGAAGATAAAGCATGCCACAGGACTATAAAGGCATAAATTATTGATGCTGCTCCTGGACAAGCCATGCCTTTTGTCTGAAATCTACAAACACATGGTTTAGACTAATTTTCATCTGCCTGTATAAAAGGATCAGTGCAAAACAAGCCTAGTAATTTAAGCAGACAAATTTGTTAGAGAAATCAAATTTATTAAGATAAGCCTGTTTTTCACTATTCAAACACAATCCTTTGAATATTGACTATACACAAATATGCAGAAAACAGATAAACAAGTTCTCAACCATTGCTATTCTAAGTAGTCTCACACCACACATAAAAATATCATGAAAGGTTATCTGACCCTTAAAGGCTTCACACCAACATTTTATTAAGCATGACGCCAGGTTGACCATTCAATCGGTAAAAGCAATCAATATATGTTGCCAGAACATGCAAACTTGATTTGCAACAATTCCCCACTATTAAAACAGATTGTTCCAGAGTAATATAAGTTCAACTTAGAGAATTCTGCTTTGAACATTGAGACATTAACCATAACCCCAATTTGAGCAGACAAGCTAAAAAGTAGAAAAAAGATGAGTCTTAATAGACAAGATGTCTAAATCACTTTGCATTTGATTACACCTGTAATTTTAGAATCAGTTCTTTCTTCCAAATAGCTAGGATTTCACTAAATCTAATAACACAGTTTCACATGGTTTGGTCTGCTCACAAAATTCACAAAAAAAAATGTTAAAAATTGTTTCCCCCTCTAACACAACATGCCCATGACAGTATGATACCCCCCTTTCAAAAAAAAAAAAAAAAACAACCTTTTCCCCTTAAAGTAACAATTCAAATTAAAAAAAAATAAAAAAATTGCCATCAGAAATAATAATAAAAAACAAAGCCATAAAATTATAATATAGAACATACCCGACCATATCGACCAGTTGGGTCGGTTTCCATGTAACGATGCTCAGCTATGCCATCCTCCTTGCTCTTTTTATTGGAATACATGTTGGATTCTTAACTATATGTTCCAACTACCAATCACCTAAACCTCAAACACTATAATTTGCACTGCAACTTTTGCGCAGAAAGTGTAGAAAAGGAACAAAAAATAAAATAAAATAAGAGAAACAGTTTATGCTATTATCCAAGATTGTAGAATCCTAAATCCGATGCTTTCCCTCGTGGTGTACGTGGGAGAAGACCCCAAAAAAATAGCCAGAAAAACCTTGAGTAATCAATACTCTGCATTATCCTACCCATCTTTACAACAACCCCGCATGTCAAGTGATCATAGTCCTTAGCAACCATTTGATTTTTATTTTTTTTTCCTTGTTCCTTTTGAAAAGAAAAAGTAGAGAGAGAGAGAGAGAGTGGAGACTGCAAGATTTGACAAGACAAGACAGATGAGAAGAAGGGAATAAACTTAAGATAAGTTTACAATGAAAGTGATAGGATCCTATCACTGCCCTTTATATGCCAAGAATTATGCAGGCATATATGACACATGTGGCTTTGGGGCAGGGTCAGTTTTGGGCATTCACAAAGCACAAGAGTTAGTGATTGTTGCTGTAGAAAAGGGAATTGTGAGAGAGAACTAGTGCACGGAACTTGAAGAATCTGTGGCCACTCTTTGTTATAAGCATTTGTGGATAACAGTGGAAGAAGTTCAAGACAAAACAGAACTTGGCAAACTCAGCTGAAGAACAAAACCCATGCAGAAAGTGAAGCAGAAATAAAAGCTTGGGAGATCATTAAAAAAAAAAATATAAAAGAGAGAACTTTTGGAAGGTAGCTATATGGGGAAGAGGGAGGTGGGTGAGGTGAGGATTTGTTAAAGGCTCAAGCTTTGTATATATAATAAGATTAGAGAGTAAAACTGAAACTTGTGCATATGCATATCAGTTGTTGCTGACAGTGGGGCTGGTATGGACCACATTGTAACTGAGGTGGCAACATTAGAATGCTTGTGATTGTGTCATGTATTTGTTGATGTCAAGGATGACAAGGTTGACTTTGGGGATTGGAATTTGCCAGTGCCAACTTTCTGTCCTATGGCTACTGTTTTTTCTTCATTTTGTCATGTTTTATTGGTCCTATATAGTATGGATAATCTTTTAAATACGAAAATTTATTTGATATTTTTCGGATGTTTATCCAAATCTTAGTACCTATAATATTCCTAATCTAATTAAATAGTAAATTATATGTAATTAAGTAAATTAGGATATATTAGTGAGTTGAATTAAGTAAAATATCTAATTAAATGAATTAAGGTCACTTTTGAGAAAAAAAGTGTTGTCAGTGAAAATTAAGGGATAAAATGGGTGTAGGCAAAAGTATACAAAATATAAAAGTAAAAGTAAAAATATTCTAGACCTTTGGATAAAGTTTGGAAGAGAATGGAATTAACTAGATAGATAAACTTTTATCCGGTAGAAATAACTTACCTATGTTAAGTTGTGAAACACAAGACTTCCACCCCATTCTTCTTCGATGGAAATAGAGAGAAAGAGAGAGATAATCATTGTTGTGGAGCTCATCTTGTAACTTCTCCATTCCTTGAGCAAATTACTTGGTTCTTGGATCAAAACTGCATAGAATCTCAAGCCAAACACAATCCATAGATTAGATTCTCTTGAAATCAAGTGTGTAGTGAAAAAAGTGAGAGAAAAGTGGCGCCCTAACTTGGAGAAGGAAGCTTGGAGTGGCTCATTGGTTGATTCAAGACTTGGAATCCACTCCCTAGGCGATTCTAAGACTACCCATAGTAAGAAATCCCACTTTCATTAAGTTTTGTAGAAATGGGTATGTTAGGGTTTAGCTTATGAAAATGCATGAATAGTGGGGTATGTTAGAGAGAGATTGAGACTAAATTCTTTTGTAAAAGTTGTTAGGAATGGTAAATAAACGGTAGAAGTGAAGTTAGTTTGTGATTTGATTTAGTTTCAATAATCTTGGAAACTTATGCTTGAAAGTGTGGATTTTCTTGCATTGTTGAGCCTTGATTGATCGTGTTCATATGATTGCTAGGATTGAGGCAAGTAGACCAATTGTGAATGATCAAGCCATAGGGGAGCCAATGGAGCTTGGTTTGGGTACTTGAATTGTTTCAAGGATTAGTGACGTTGGTGGTTGGAAGGAATTACCAAGTGTCATACCAAGAAAGGTTGGTGAGGATAAGTGAGCTAGAAGAAAGCTTGATTGTGGAACTGGGTGAAGGACAAAGTTAGATTGGAAACAATAAAGGTAAACCTTTGGATCTTGGAGGTTCATCCCTCTTGTTGTTCCACCCTTACTTTTATGGAAGTAATGGTTAATGATTGGATGATTGAGTGGTATTATAATAGCCCATCTTAATTAATTAGTAAATCAAGTGTAATTAATTAATTAAACATGTTTTAGTGAGTGAAATTAAGTATAAGGCTTAATTAAATGAATCTGAGCCACTTTGGAGTTAAAAAGTGTACTCAGTGAAAATTAAGGGGTATAAATGGGTACTGGCAAAAGTACCCAAAATATAAAAATAAAAATAGTAATATTCCTAGAATAATATTCCAGACTTTTGGGTAAAGTTTGGTAATTATTGGGGTTGAATAGATAGACGAACCAATACCCGCTTAAAGCCACTTAACCTATGTTAAGTGACTAAAAGCCAAAATGAACCCCCATTTCCCACCCATTTCGTCGAGCCAGAAACAGAAAGAAGGAGAAGAAGAAGGAGAAAGAAGAGGAAGGAAGGGAGGAAGAGAGAGAGAGATCAAACCTTGATGGTTTTGGATGATTCAAAAGCCTAAATCGCTTAGAATCTCGCCCTCTTTCATAATCCTAGCTTTGTTTTGAGTGGGGAGCATTGTGGAGAGAGATATTACCTCTCAAAAATTCGGCCCTTTGGAGAAATTTGGGGTTTTGAGAGTTTCTACCTCCATTGAAGCTTGAGGAGCCATCAATCCTTGGTTGTGTGACCATTGGTGGTAAGATTCTAACCCTTGAACCTCATGATTCCTTGAAATTTGCATGAGTTAGGGTTTGTGAATAGTAAATTGGGATTTTTATGAAATGTAGTTGAATTAGCTATGTTCTAGGAAGAATGGAACTTAGAGCATGTTATGGAAAATGCTAGGAATGTCATTTAATCGGTGGAAATGAGCCTAGATAGTCATTTGATAATTGTTCATAATATTGGAAAATTCATGCTTGGATTGGTTAGTATTCTAGCATGTTGAACAATTAGGGAGTTGAATGATTGATTGGATCCTTGTGATGTCTAGGATTGAGACATTTGGACCAACCGTGAGTGATCAACCATTGGAGCAAGCCATGGAGCTTGAATAGCTCATTGGAATTGGTGTATGTTTGTAAAAGTTGATTGCTGAAACTGTTGGTGAAGAACAAAGGTCGACTGAAGCATTGAGGTAAGCCTTCGGACCTTGGGTGTAATTCCCTTGACTGTTCTACCAAGCCCTGAAAGGGTAGAGGTTGTGATTGTGTATATAAATGCAATAAAATAGTGTAATGCTTTGTTATACGTATGTGTATGCATTTGGTGTGGCATAGGATGGTGTTTCCCTATGTTGGTATGTTGCATGACGATGCGTAAATCATACATGGTAGTTAGCTGGCCAGTAGGACTATTTGCATCTGAGTTTCCTTAGGACAGCTTGAGAGCTCGAGGGATTTCTCCTGGAGATGTAGTGCACTTTGCATAGATATGTATTTACTGCATTATTATTGTTATTGCTATTACACTGATATGGAACTGTGGGGTGGAGAGATGCTCCAAGGACCCCTGGTTTACTGGATATATTCGTATATCTCACCCCGTGTTGTGGGGACCCCCTTTCAGGTAAGGATGCTGCAGGAGCCTCTGGTGGCAAGTGGCCATATCTGGATTATGCATGAAATATGGCATTTCTTTGAGTTTATGCATGCCTTTTGTAGTTGACATGTATAGGATTTTATTTTGAAAGCCCATGGTCATTTGTATATCTTGATTCATTGGATGAACTTAGCCTATGCTCATGCCTTTGGTTACACCTTTTGTTGATGGGAGCCAAGGGAATGATCATAGTGTTTTGTAAGCTAAGTTCTATGATTTGTAAAGGATATGTAATGTAAATGATGCCTACTTGAAATTCAATATATGCATGCTTGTTATGTATTGAGTTGTTGAATTGGTTGGGCTGAAAATCAATTAGGTACCCTTTTGTTTAAACTGGTAAACGATGAGAAAACAAAGGTCGTGCTGCCCAAATTCTAGCTAAATCTCATGAGGAGAGGTTGGATGAGTGCTAGGATTTAGTTTTGGGGCATGGACAATTGGGGTTTGTAATGGGGATGCATTTTCCCCTAGGCTTGGACTTGAGAAATGTGGGAATTGGAATTCCCTGGCAGCGCGCTTAAGCGCCCAGGAGCGCGCCCAAGCGCCCTGCTGCCCCTGCGAGTGCCAATGCATTCTGCCTCCTTGCGCTGGAGCGCCCAAGTGGGGGCTTAAGCGCCCAGGATTGCGCGCTGGAGCGCCCTGGCGTGCGCTTAAGCGCCCTTTGCTGCAGAAAGTTGGGTGGCTTACTGCCCCCTCGTGTTTTAGCGCCCAGGGTGGGGCTTAAGCGCCCAGGGTTGCGCTTAAGCGCCCTTCGCCACTGAAGGAGGAGATGCTTCTGTCTCTGCGCGCTAAAACGTCCCCGTGGGAGCTTGAGCGCCCAGGATAGCGCGCATGAGCGCCCTGTTGCGCGCTTAAGCGCCCATCCACACTGGAATGCCTGATGCTTACTGCCTCCGTGCGCTTAAGCGCCCAGATGGAGGCTTTAGCGCCCGATAGCGCGCGCTTGAGCGCCCGGTAGCGCGCGGGGCCTGTGACCAACACTCTCTTGTGTTGCTTCAATTTGTCCTAACTTGGGCTACAGTGCTCCGATTTGAGCGCGGTTTGAAGCCACGCATAGCTAATGAAGAAACCTACAATATAGTAGAAGTTGTGAACATGATGTTAAGCTTAATTTATCTGTTTTCGCAAGGTAATATGGTTATGATCACGAAAATGGGTATTATAAGTTCGGTACGTTTTAAAATGAAAAATTTATCCGGATTTTAATTGAACCCATGTGATTGTAACTGCGCTTAATATCATAATGCGATGTTAATAAACCGGTTCTAGAACGGGGTGTTACATTTTATGGTATCAGAGCAGTTTCGTCGGGAATAACTGTTAGCTATTGTTGAGTATGCTTAGTGTTTGATGCTTTATAGTTGTTTTAGTACTCTGTATGATTATTGCATTTGTGATCACTAAGTGTGGGCCTGATCAACTCACTTCTTTGTGTAACATGTGTAGTGACATGACGAGGAACCGAAACAACCCCGGACCATCAAACACCAATGCTCAGCCAGAACCTGTTTTGGCTGCTCTTGTGAGGCCTAGAAGTGGCCGTGGGGCAACGGGCGTACAGCCTGATCCCGTGGCTGAAGCTCTTGCAGCCGTTCAGAGGGAGTTGGCTGCTAGCAGGCAAGCCAATGAAAATCTGATGAAAACAAATGAAGACTCGCGGACTGCCATGGCCGCAATGATGACTGAGCTGAGGACGTTGAGGGGTCCTAGGCCCGTGAACCGGCAACCCACTCCTCCTCCTCACACTGCTACGCCTTCTCCACCTCCTTCACAGGAAGAGGGTGGAGTGGGTAACAATGAGGGTGAGGGTAGCCATCACTCTGGAAGTCGGAGTCATCACACTGAGGTTCGTCAACCTCAAGTTGAAAATGTCGGTGATCATGAAATGGAGGAAAGGAGATTGATGGCTTTCCGAAAACATAAACCTCCTTC